ATGAACGTACAATGCCATAGGACATTCCTCCCTCGCATGAGCTTGTGCTCCTTGGAGATGGCCGCTCGTGGCAGACGCTCCGTCGTACCCCTGCCCGACAAGGTTTTCTACGTTGACACCGTTTCTCTTCGGACAGCCCATGATGATGGATGCAAGTCCTCGGCCGATCAGATCTGTAGCAGGAGCAAACTCCAAAAAGTCTTCGTGTACTTTGCCGTCACTATCATCCATATACCGCAGGCAGATCGAAACCTGCTCCGTTCTCGAAACATCTGTTGTTTCGTCAGCGAGCACTGCGAAACATTGGGCTTTATTGACTTTAATCACTATCTGTTCCTTGATGAAATCTCCGAAAATGTTTATGAAGTCATTTTGGACACCCGCACTCCAATATTTCGCATTTAGCGCACAACACTCAAGGTGATTCTTGAGCATGACGTCCCCTGCATCCGCACGGAACCGCAAAAGTGCTCGAAAGACCCCATCGTAGACTGCAGCATCAGTGTTCAGGATGTCTCCATAGTCTTTCGTCCCCCTCAGTGGAAGTTCTTGCCGCCCGCATAAAATAATTGTCTTTACGATTGACGTGAGTTTGGCCCGATTTTCTTCGGCCTGCCGTACCAGTTCGGAACACAACCGATCATCCACACTCCGTTGCTTCCCACCGACAACACGAAGAAAATCCTCTGCCGCCACAGACGAGGCCTTATGGTAGCTGGTATTAGCGTGAATTTGAAATATTTCCCAAGCGTCCTTCCAGTTACGGAAACTTTTCGTGACTAGAGCACCGAGTCGCCGGTGGCCACCTTTACCCCCGGTTTCCATTGCAAATACCACGCATACTTTGCACAATGCACCTTCTTCATGCTTTGAATAGGCAAGCCACGGAAAACGTTCGATCCATGTAAGGCGAAATCGTAGTTTCCTCTTGGAAATTAGTGGAAACTCACGTTGGTGGAGGGATCCATGGGGACCTCAAGAGCATTTCTTTCGTGACGTCATCTGCATTCTTTGTCAAATACAATTCTATATCTCTATCACTGCAGTCACTCTGGACAATTGCTTGTGAGCTCGCTACGCATTCAGTAGGCTGGGATTTACTGGCCGCTGTTTCAATAGTATTCAGGTCTTCTTTTCCGGCCGACGCAGATTCTGCTTCTCCATTTTCCTTGGTCACAGATTTTATTGTTTTTGGATCCTCTTGTTTAGATTTCTTAGATAGGAATTCAAATAGCGAAGTTTGCTTCTTATTCGCAGAACGTTTCATTTTCAGCCCTGTAAAGAACACTCGGACATAGTCCACTTTTTGGATTAAAAAAGACTCCGTTGATATTACTAACGAACTTAGCCACGCAAATGGGTTAACCGTAAAGTTAAGGTAACATGGAAAGATAGTCTTCCGTCCAGCTGTCTTTGAATTCGCGATATTAGCCGCCGACATTTCGATTTTTGAGGAGCTGGCAATCACTGTCACTGGCACCGCCAACAAAAGAAAACGAAACACGGTAACTAAAAGCGTTATTGGGAAGTAGCGGACTGCTTGTCCTCAAGGTGAACGCAACTGTCAATGGAGCAAACGAGTTCACATAACTGCCGATGGGGGTGGGGGAGGACGCAGAAAAGTGTAGAGCGTTTACACCGACGAATAGCGGGATTGCAAAAATTTAAAGAAGATATTTCGGGGGAGGGGAGGTTTGAACTCCATGCATCGATCGATTCGTCCGACCGAAGATCGCCCACTCGTTTCGTGGCTGCGATCACCTGCCGTTTGATGTCGTTCGACACGTCATGGATGCGCGCACGAATCGTATCGTTCGACAGAAGAATCCGTTCGATCTTCCTGGCGACGTCACCTCCGCAGACGGTACGCACCGTGTCGACAGCTACTGGTTTCGTCGATTCCTCAATGATGGGCGAATTCGAGTGCTTCGCCTGCCAACCGAGAGGTTTCTGGAGGCGTGTATTTCGGAGCATGACCGTTATGGTGGAGGCAGCGTCATGGTATGGGGAGCCATTAGCCTCGACGGCCGATCTCAACTTGTGGTCATCCATGGGAATCTTACTGGCCAGCGTTACGTGGATGAAATCCTGCTGCCAGTACTGGTGCCCTTCCTTCAGAATGATTCAACCAGCACTTTTCAGCAGGATAACGCCAGATCCCACACGTACCGAGTGACCACCAACTTCCTGCAGGGTGCCAACGTGCCCACCCTACCTTGGCCGGCTCGCTCCCCTGATCTTTCCTTTCTCCAATTGAGCATCCGTGGGACAACCTAGGCCGTCGCGTCCGTGATCATGGTCTGAACCCTCCTGCGACGCTGCACGAACTGGAGCCGAGACAGGTGGCCCACTGGCAGCAGATCCCACAACAGGAGTGCACCACCTTTTTGACAGCATGCCACGCCGATTGCAGGCATGCATTGCTGCGCGTGGAGGACACGCGCGTTACCGAGTGGGAAGTGACACCCAGGCACTGATCCTTGTCAGTAGCACTGCGTTAACCGTTCATACTGTCAGGACGGTAGTGACACGAGTAGCCCTGTCGTTTTTCAATAAACATTCATCGAAAGGCGTTCCAATTCAACCAATACCATGACGCACTACGCAGTATAAATTCCTCCAAGGTAGCTTTTGAGTCGATAAGTAGAACCCCCGGCCCACTCCTTTAGGGCACTGGCCAAGTTTTTTTTACATACCTATACGTGAATAATCACAAATTCTGAGTCACTTGGAAGAAGAATCACGTTGTTTTGGTATGACTTCTTAGTTAACCCTCCAAGCGGCAAACGTCGCAGTTGCGACGTTAATACAGGCTATGAGGGGTTTCCTGCCGCTTGGAGGGTTAAAGAATCAACAATGCCACATAAGCGAAGTGGCTTGAGGGAAGCAGAAAAGGAAACTGGCGTTATCGGTGACGCTGCCCCCGTGCCATATTCCTCCGGGTTCGACTTGTTTTCTCAGCATCCCTTCATCCCATGATCTTGAAACCTTGCTCCATTTTACTACACATCAGGAGGAGTTCCTGCTCCGCATTTCCTTGATAAACTCCCTCTAGATAATCGTTGTGGGTGATAAGTACAACCCTTTAAATTGGAATGTTTGGCAAGCTTTCTCAGCGAATATTCAACCTACGATCTTGAAACTCATCAATTTCATGACACACTAACACGAGTATATTTACCAAATTTCAAGATCGCTCAAGTCCTTCTTGGTGTGACTTTTTTTTGGAGATGAGTGTATTATAATATGGAAAGACAAAGGGCAGCCTCGTTGCCGCCCTAACGACGGACCGCCCTGGGAAGTCGCCCACGACGCCCATTCCTAAAAGCCCTGATCACAGACAAAAGTGCACTAACAGTCGATTGCAGTCAAGCAAAGCAGAACTCTTTGTACTGCGTTTGATTTATCTTTCCAGATTACACCGATGTGTTGAAATTTCATGCATCGTTATTATAAGTTTCCATCCAGACAGCCGTTTTTTAACATGTAACAGACTGATTGGAGGAAAGGTATGTTTGGGTAGCATGAGTGAGCTAGACTATAAAGGAAAGTTCGGACCGTCACTGAAGACCTTGGCGACCCAAATTTGGGTCGTGACTCAGGGGTTAAGAACCACTGCACTACGTCACACGCATTCCACGCGTTCACTACCCTACAAGTTAAGAAGTTCTTTCGCAACCTGCGACTCACCTTGGGTTCTGGCAACTTTTGTCGGTTTCCTTTAGTTCTGCTGCTGTTATCGAACTTGAAAAACTTGCCACGCTCTACGTTATCGATTCCCTTAACGATATTAAATGTCTGGATGAGGTCTCCCCTCGCTAACCTTTAGGGCAAGTACAATCCCAACACTTTTAAACGCTTTTCATATGGATGCAGTGGCGGATACAGGGGAGGGGGGTAGGTAGGTAGGTAGGAAGTAGGGAACCGCTCTCCTGTGAAACATTTCTGCATCCGCCACTGTATGGATGTCCCCTTATCTCCATCATTCTCTTAGCTTGGCTCTGAACCCACTCGAGCGCCGTGAGTTAATCTTCATTTGTAAGCCTCCAAAATTGAACTCGATACTCCAAATGGGGTCTTACCAGCGCCGCTTATAGCGGAAGAACAACGCGCGAACGCTTGCTGGCTTAGGAACGCCGGAAGAATCCTTAAGTCCTGTTGCATTTGGCTACCGACGCTTGCGCGTGCAGGAACCTCAATTCCTCATCCACAGTGATCCTTAAAATGTCTCTCTCCGTTGGCCTCCTCCAGTTTACCGACGTCGAATTCATTCAGAGACCTACCGGAAGAACCTTACACTTTCATTAAACCATATCTTACTCAATTCGTCCAAAAGCCGTAAATGCAGCAGTTAATGAGCTGCCGTATGAGGGCACTCTGACGTAGTAAGGTCGGGCCACACGGATTGTACTGTACAACGGTAGCATGAACCTGTCCATAAGTTTAATTCACAGATTCGATTCTCCCTTACTCAGACTTTCCCACTAGTATAAATCAATCAGTTTACAAAGTGGTGCTAAAGTCCATCCGGCAGCAAAAGACACACTCGAGGACCAAAGATTAGCTGGATGGAGCGGGGAAAGCTAACCAGTAAAAGAAAAATACATAAATCTGTCCTCCGTTGTGTCACTTGAAGGCAAAGGGTTTATGACATACTTTAGTGCAATAAGATGAAAGACAGCAATTTTGTCAGCTGAGAGAGACCCTTAGTATAATAAGTTATGTGGAAGTTATGTGCGATCTGCGGTGTCTTTTTTTCCTCTCGAGTTCTCACTCCCTTTATCGTCAGCATAATTTACATCATCCGCATCATTACTAACGAACACGATTCATGCGATTGAACGAAAAATTTGACAAAACCCTTCACTCATGTCTGAGGTGGGAAGATTATAAGTGACCAAAGTTTCCTTCTGATCTGTAATATCGAAGTCACATGTGTGTCTTTGAGGTTGGATAAAGTGTTCAGTACACCATTACCAATCCACAAAAACACACAGATCATAGTGCATACAAAGATGATCACTATATTTCATGTCAGTCAGGGGGAGAAGGATTTATGCTTTTGTGAAATGCATCAGACATAATTTCACATTTCTTGGTCTCTCTCTCTCTCTCTCCAATTCAAAATCCTACAGAACATGAACAAAACAAAAACATGACCAGATTCTGTACTTCAAGAGACAAAACAATTTGTTGAAGATTTGTATCCATCAAACAAAACGGCACTGGGGAATGCCAAAGGGTTCTTCGTCCAATGTTCCATCCTCATCGATATCTGAAACGAGGGTTGTAAGGGCGTCGATAGGGGCGACCTCTGAATCCTGGGCCACGCCAGGGGCCACGGGGACCACCACCACTCCACATCGGACCGGGTCGCCCCTGATACCCACGTCCCCGGGAAGGTCCGAGCGATTCGAAAGGGCCTCGTCTCCCAGATGGATCGTAACCCACGTCAAACGGAGGGGGCTGAGGTTGCAATCCATTTGTTGCTGGCACAGGGATGGATCGATGCAGAGCAGGTGACGTCAGCACTTTCTCCTTCAGGTATTCCTCGTCTCCGTCTCCATCGTCTTCGTCCAGTGGGACTAAAAACCTATCAATGGGGGGATACACTGGTGGGGGACCTGGGTCCACCCCCATTCGCTCAGCCAGGACCTTCGACAATGGATCGTCTGCCTCCGAGTCTGCTTCCAGATCCATGGGTTCGGGTTCCATGGCGCTCATTCGCAGGTCCGTGTCCCCGTCCCCCCCCGTCAGGGATATTAAATTCCGATAATCTGTGTCCTTCTTCTGTTCGTAGAATGGGATGCGGTAGTCCACGTCGGAATAGGTGTCGCCTCGCTCGTGGTGCGGAGGAGACAGAGGAGTGTCATCGTCATCATCCTTCTCGGGGCCGACCTCATCACCCGGCTCCCAAGACCCACCCGTGGGATAACATGGGTCGTAATTTGTACTCTCTTTAGGCCAGGTGGGGAAGTTGTGGGGGAGGCCTGATGACCAGGATGGTGGGGGCGGTGGAGGCACTAAGCGCAAGTCTGCGTCTCCACCCCCTCTGTGTTCTGGGGTCTCCATCGTGGGTGTCTCTTTCCCTCCATTTCCGATCAAGGTCGAGGTTGTGAAAATGGGTTGATTAAATGTAGGAATAGTGGGTGGAGGGGGTGGCGGAGGGATGGTACGTTGAGGATTCTGGCTTGCCGATGAGATGTTCAGTGTGGCTCCTATGCGATTGAACAACTCTGAGATCCCAGCCAACCCTCCTCCTTCACCTCCTGATCCTCTTGTCTTCCTCTCCCCATTCTGAAACATTACCAGTTCTTTCACCCATGACACAGTACAAAGAAAAGAAGTATTGCTTTGGTTTAAATAAAACAAACCATAGAAAATAGTATCCTTAGTCCCTGCATCATGCTTCATTATACACGTCTGTCTTCATGGTTCCCTTCCCTGCTCTACTAGATAACTTTTGCACAGTAGTGCTCTATAAGGGTCAGCTAAGGTGGCTTCATTTCTGCTAAATACAATATAAGACCTGGCTCAAATGGAGATAGATTAGATGCCAATTTTAATGTCAAATTCCTGAAATTTTTAAGAAAACCCAGACTAAACAGACACTTGTGCACATACTGTGACAAGCAGAGACACTCTGTTTTCTTCCCCAAGTCAGAAATTTAATACATTTATTGGCTACTGGAGTGTTTGTCAGACCAAAAGAACTCTCCAAATAATAAAAGCAAGGAAAAAAACCAATGCCTGACTTTGCAGCTTTGGACTAGGTGTCATACAATGTCATGATTCTGGCTGCAGCACTTCCAATCCCCAGAGTTCACTCCTTGTCTCAGTCAGGTTCATTTTATCAGAGGTACTAGGTACTACCGTATAAGGGTTCAATTCATATGACATATCCACTTGAGATATCTGATTGGACATAATTAGTAGACTCCTGTCTAACTGTGGAGACTCATTTCTATGTTAAAAATCAGGGACAAATTCTGAATATCATTGGAGAAACAAATATAAAAACAGCCACAAGATTGGTTAAGTTACCTCTGCCTTGTTTTCTTTTCTTTTCCTTAACCTTTCAATTAGAGTAGTCAGAACCACCATTTTAACATGTACATTTAGCCTGAAGAACAGTGATCAAGATTTACAACTACCCCTCAAGAGTGGTTTTATGAAGCCATCTAGCATTTGACTTCCCGAATTCTTTGCATAAAAGGGAAGAACACAATTTGAAATTAAAAAAACAGCTACAAACAGCTACATTTAGTTAAATTTGAGCTAAACCTCAAAATTGAATGGCACACCTCAAAGAGTTAAAGCAGATTGGATGGACAAAGGTTAACACATTTGAGACCACGCAATGGTCTCGGACTGTTTATGTGAGATTTTCGAGAGACGTGCAGACAAAGGTTTTTACGAAAAGCACACATTTTGCTCTGTCAAATACTTCTTGAATCTTCTAGAGAAATGCCTAAAGAACAATTACATCCAAATCGGAAATTAAATATACAGGCAAATTATTGGAATTCCTATAGGCTCCAATTATTTCACTAACCTGGCTAACTTAATTCTTTTTTACTTTGAATCAAAGTTTATCTCTGAAGCCCCTTTTCCTGATGAATATTAGATTACTTTCAGATACCTTTATGATCTCATAGCAATTAATAACACAGTCATTTTTTCAGAAGTTGACAGCATTTACCTGGAATGCTTGTCGCTCGAAAAAACTGGTCGACCCCCATACAAAATAGGACACTACTTGGACCTTAACATTGTTATAAATGAAATAGACAAAGCTGAGATCAGTATATATGATAAATGAAGGGATTTTGATTTCAATTTTCTTTCCCTACCTTTCAAAAATAGTAATATTCCTCGACACATGATTAAAAATGTGGTATCTTCACAGTTGTCCAGATACATAAAAATTTGCCCCAATATAGAGGGTTTCAGACAAAACTGCAGTTTGCTGTATCAGAGGCTGATATGCAATGGACATGCCTTTAAATTTATCATTCAACAATTTAAAGGTTTCATATTGCAAAAGAAACAAGGAATTTCCATTAAATACCATACCTCAGTGGGGGAACTGAATCTTTCATTTTTACAATACAGTTTTTCCCAATTGCTAGAGCCCTATTTCCTATCTTGATGGACATTTTTCAAAACTTAACATATGATCCGCAAAACTCTGCACTCTTTTCTCACATCCATGTGTCCGATGGTCAAAAGTGCATCCCTTTATCAAAATCAAAGTACGCTCTTCAATATTCTAACATATGGTGTAAGGAATGTCTATAGATGGTCAAGAAGAGATAGTGAAAATAATTCTTCTAAAGATTCCCCTAATCTCAATATGCATTCCAGTTACAATATCTCTTTAGAAGGCCAGAATAGAGTTGAGAAAGAAAGACAAAGTCCCTTCAGTCGGTTTCTCTTATTTTTTAAACTCAAATTAACGTCATGCGATAAAATGCATAGTTTGGGACCTTTAGTACTCTGTCATGTCATAGATTTCTCGCTTATGTATCATACAGAAATAAAATAAAAAGACGATAATATGTGACTGAGGATAAAACTCCTCCTCTCCTGAATATGAAGATATGATATGCACTACTTCTAGTAGAGAAATGAAAAGAAATCCACTATAACGAATTGTAAGCCCCAATAGACACAATTTGTAATGATAGGTAAAAACTCTTAGGTTTCACATTGAAGAAACTTTTTTTCATAGGGTCATGAAGACTTCTGGAGTCCAGACATGGATTTCTCTCTTTTTTTTTCCAAGCTTAACATTTCAAGTATTTTTACGATCTGCTACAATTTCACCACTGAGACTCCATGTTGGACGTACGGGATCGAGAAAACTGTGAGCCTCTCGCAACTGTAAGCCAGGCTGGGGTAATGCACAACACCCTCATATACGTATCTGCGATTTTTCGATGAATGATGACTTTCAAAACTTAACGTACCCATGCCAAAGCCGTACATACTGTTATCAGGATTGGATTTCCGCTCCCCAAAAGTCGAAACAGAATGTCCTACAATCAATTTCTAACGTACCTGGAGTTAAAACTTAAGGCACCTTCGGCAAAACTCTCAGGATGATCTGTGAATGGGAAGGTGATGAGTCTTGCCGATCAATGCTTGCCCTGTCAGCCGTACCTGGCGAAATTGACCAGATCCTCCCCAATGTATTTCAATGGAGTGTACGTTACTTTTTGAGGCAAGGACGTTAAGTTTTGCCGCGAGTGCCTTAAATTCGTTCTAAAGGACACCAGCAATGTGTTCTATTGGAAAATATGTTTCAGTGAAGGACGTTTGGCACGTATGCCGTATGAAAATTTTAAATATAATAGATGGCGCTATATCTGGCCGATGATGTGCTCGTACCAATACACTGGCGTCGTTTTTCTGTGATATTTCTTGTTCATAAAATATGTTTACAGTTTTGCGGATCATGCAATGAGGACTTCTTGTCCTCAACTTCTACTCTGACAATTTATACAATCTAGGCTCAGTTGCTGAGTGGATGTGTATACGGTGGGTGTTTCAACAGTGATCACCCAGGATTGAACCAGCATAGATTTATTACTGTAAAAATCATAAAACCGCCCATTGAGATTATTTTGCGTGAAATATATGGACAAGGTGCTGCTTGAAAGCACACAAACTCCTCCTCCCCCCTCCCATTCTTCCCCTCTCGCCTTTGTTGAACGGAAGTAGTAAATTTCTGCTCCACAACAGATCACGGTTTCTGCCGGTCGAGCTCATTACTATCTTCCTACACCCTAATAAGGTCAGACTGTTATTTTGAGAAGTCACTTGACTTGTGCAGTCATTCAAAAGGGTGCAGGGCATTGTATCTGGTCGAAGACCCCTCAACGAGTCAATATAGCGAGCATAAGTTGGAAAGATTTGGAGATCATAACATGAGATTTTCCCAATGAACACTCATACCTACGAACAAAAATGGGTCCAAAGGTCATAACAATTTTGTAACTTATGATAAACAAAAATGACCATAAAATGACCTCTTTTCTCTCTTTTCAACCCTTTTTAGCTGATTATATTATAAGAGAAATTAATAGTAAGTAAATACTCAGGATCAGGTATTTTGGATTTTTCTGAATAGCAGTCGGCATCATTGCCTGCCAACTACATTGCTGTATCGACGTAAGAAACTAATGTAAGAAAATTCAGCTCTGACATCTCTGGACGATGAGAAAACCTCTGTGATTGGTTGGAAGGAATTTTGGAGGATAGAGATTGCCGTCAGAAGCCATGCATCCATTATCCGCACTTGTAGAATCAGTCTTCTTATCCTTTTCCACACGTTAGGTTTTGAAAAAGGTACGTAAAGATATGAAAATTGCGCTTTGCGTTTTGCTTTTCGTACGTTAGCAATGAAATTGGATGTTAAGTTTTGTGAAGAGTTTGCAGAATTTTGGGATTTGTTCAAATAGTTTTGAAAATGGAAGTATAGCGTCAAGAAACGGACGTTAGCAATTGGGAAAGAATGCAATGAAGACTTGGTTTCAACCTTGTAAACAGGCTTGGATTGCAGCTATTTATTCATTTTCCCAGTGATTATAATACCGGTGATCGAGCTTCTTTCTCATTCTGTTTACCTCTAGCTAGGTGAAAGCTTTTAGAAACCTGTCAGGGTGTAGGTCAATCGATAGATGTCCATATGTGGGAATAAGGCTCCTCTCACCATGGACAATTTGGGCATCATCATCTCTGTACATGCTTAACATCATCTGTTGGCTGATGGCCTATAGCTTGTTTCGAGTAGCTTTGTTGTGAGACATTTTGAGCTAATCATTAGCAGATGATGGCATGTGCAGAGAGGCTTCAGCTGGGGTTGTCCTTGGAATGGGGAGTACATTCAAGTTCCATCTAATATTCCTGGCATGTTAGGTTGACTGCAGAAACAGGTTGCAATAGCCATTTATGCCCTAGGCCGGCTGTACACCCCATGATGATACCAGCTGAACAGTGTCAAAAATCTAGTCTAGAGCTTCACTTTCTTTTCCTTTTTTAGCCTTCTTCTGCCTGGACCCCCCCCCATTCTGCCCAGCACATTACAGTAATTTCAGGATTCCTGTCGGAGGACTTCTGCGATCGCTGGGCTGGCTGGTCAAGGGCTTACCCTTCTGATCATGTATTTCTATCACATTATGTTCGACTTGGAAGGGGGCAATATAATATCAAATGTGTTAAATGACAGGTAAAAACAGTCCAATTGTCAATTGGACTATTTTGCTCACATAAGACAGATGACTTACCTTTATTTGAACCAAGGTGTGGTGCTGTTGTTGTATAGGAGGTGTGGGAATATAGGTAGAATCCATTATGCTCCTCTTGATCTCCTCACCAAAATTTGAAGGTGTAGGTGGTGGCAGAGGGATCTCATCCAAGTTTGGAGGTGCATCCATGAAAGATGAGACCTGGCAATGTATAATCCTATAAGAATTCTTCCTCAACCTCAGTATATTGATTAAAGATACTGAATCCCAATCCCAAAGTAGGCAAAAAGCTTATGCAGTTTCATAGGGAGGAGGAGTATTCTTCATTGAGAGTAACCTTAATCTTCAACCTTCAGAGGGATCAGAGAGCTAGCCCTAATTCATTGGATAACATCTCCTCAATGATGAACTTGTATTGGTACCAGTAAGACCTTTGGAATTGGAAGCATAAGTGGTGGTTAAATGGTTAAACAGAAGTAATAAAAGTCCAGGGTGGCACAGCTAAAGGAGGTCCCTTGTATTTGTATGTACAGGGTGACCCAAAAGTCCCTAACTATTTTTGGGAAGGAGCAGTGGCAGAAAGATAAAATGGTGTACATGGGCTCCCATACTGGCCTTGTTTACAAAACATGTCACCTGTCCATCTCCCAACTCTGCAGTAAGAGTGTGGGGATAGGGGATGATGCCGATGCCTGCAAGCCCGTCATACTTATCAATCAAGGCTGTTCCCTGACCCTGGCAAAACATTCACTACAGAGGAGCGAATCAAGATCATAACCTTACGTCTTAACAGTCAGAGTTGCATGGACATTGGTTCCATAAAGCATGGCCATCACACTTCACCATCAGGCAACTCATTGATGAGTTTTGGAACATGTGTCTTGGTGAAACATCACCTGGAGATTAGTGATGGCTGTCATGTTCTGCTATGATGTTTTATTTTTTTTGGTTCATTTTGTTAACAAGGACCATGTGGGAACCCATGTACACTGTTTCATCTTTCTACCACCACTCCTTATTAAAAATAGTAATGGACTTTTGGGTCACACTGTATTTGAACATGCTTGAATTGTTATTATTATTATTATTATTGCTTTCATTATTATTTATGACAAGAAAACTTACAGTATATATACATGCCATACTGTTAGGGTTACAACATTACAGGATGTGCAGGAAGTGATGTCCCTCTGTGGCAATACATGTCTGAACCATGTGCAGCATATTCATTTCAATGCACTGCAGTTCCTTCTCAGAAATGGTGGTAATTGCAACAGTGATGTTGTCCTTTATCTGATCAATTGTTCTTGAATTATTCTGTTACACTTTACCCTTCAGGTTACCCCACAAGTAAAAATCACATTTACTCAAATCATAGTCAAGAGATTCTTTGGCTGTTGTGCATGCGATACTTGGTGAAGATCGCACCATTTCAACAGGTTGCTGGCCTCCATGATCACCCGATTTGAGTGCATGTGATTTTTATTTGTGAGGGAACCTTAAGGGTAAAGTGTACCAGAACAATCTAAGAACAATTGATCAGCTGAAGGACAACATCACTGCTGCCATTACCACCATTTCTGGTGTGTCCAAAAATGCTGGCATGGAAGTCCCAGAAAAGTTGTACAAACATCAACCACAGTCTGTAATGAAGAAGTCTTCCACAAAAGTACTCTGGGACATGCCAATAACAGACTGCACCATTGTCTGTAACAGGCCCGACCTCTCAATCTATGACAAGGAGAAGAACACCACCCTAATTGTCGACGTGAGCATACCCACTGACACCAACCTCCAAGTCAAGACCAGGGAGAAGTAGGACAACTATTCAGAACTTAAAACAGTAGTGGAGCATTTATGTGGTATGAAAACCATCATCATCAGGACAACTGGCATGGTCCTGAAAGACCACAAGAACCACATACAAAAGCTGGGATGTCACATATCCCTAGACATCCTCCAGCATATGGTCATCTTGGACACAGCTAACATCCTCCATCGTGTCCTCCAGAACGAAACAAGTGTGATGATTGGGGTGTGGCTCACCCCCTTTCACCCTTCTTTTTTTTTGCCTGCACTTGCCATGAATGCGCAACATAATAATAATAATAATCATCCCATCCCTCTTGGCCATCCTCGCAGGTTGTTTTCAATGCCTGCTGGATGGGGACAAGTCAATTCCATGCTGGCTACATGAGGGCAGAACTGTTTTGATCTACAAAAAAGGTGATGCAGCTGACCCCAAGAACTACATGTCTCAACACTCTTTATAAGATCTTTACAAGCATGTTGAATGAACACATTCTCACCACCACCACCATAACACCTGTTTGGGAAGATGCATGCAAGCAAAGAGGTGCCAAATGGGGAGTCACAGGTGCCAAGGACAACTTACTTATTGACCGCTCAGTGTGCATCATGCATGTCAATACCGGAGGAACCTGTCTATGGGATGGGTGGATTACTGAAAGGCTTTTGATACCACCTCTCACAGCTACCTTTCAGTGTTGCTGGAATGCCTTTGTGTCCACCCATCACTCAGAACATGCATAGAAAATCTCCTCCCACTGTGGAAGACACAGTTCGCATTGTTGGTGGACAGCTGAATTTCCCTAACGAACTGGGTGAACATCCAACACAGAGTGTTTCAGGGTGACTCTTTGAGTCCCATGCTATTCTGCATATCATTGCTTCCGCTTACCATCTTGCTCCAAGACTGCGATGGGTACAGCGCCGGACCACCTGGTGCAAAAGTACACCGGATCACACATCTGTGGTTCATGGATGACTTAGAGCTGTACTCCTCAACAGAGATGGGCCTCCATCATGCTCTCTCAGTAGTTCACTCCTATTCCACTAACATCGGAATGGAATTTGGGATAGACAAATGTGCCATCTTGGAGATGAAGAAGGGCAGAGTAGTTGACATGGGCAAAGACGTGGACCTGATTGATGGAACTGTCATCTGCCATCTCAGCGCAGAAGAGCCATACACCTACCTTGGCGTGCCAGAGAGGCAGTCCCAGGAGGTGAGTACCATCAAATCAGCCCTTGATAGAGAATACAAGTGTCACCTAAGGTGGATATGGAGCTCTGAGCTCTCTGCCTGCAACAAGGTGACGGCCACCAACACCTTTGCAATCCCTGTCCTCATCTACACCTTTGGTGCCCTTCATTGGACCATCAAAGAGCTGGATGACTTGGACTGTGCAAGCAGGAATACCATGAATCTGCACTGTGGTCTCCACCCCAAATCCTCCGTTCAGCGTCTATACCACCCACGGGATGAGGGTGGGAGAGGCCTGCCAGGAGTAAGGCATCTGCACAATCGTGTGACCATCGGAATTGCTGTTCGGCTGCTTACAAATGCAAACGACCCCCTCCTAAGCCTTGTGATCACTCACGAGCTCATGGGTTGGGGATCCTTTCTCTTCCAAACTGCAGAACGAACAGCAAGATCTCTTGGGCTAGTGCTGGATACTGGACAGCAACCAATGTTTGATGACATTAATATTCAATCCAGCAATGAACGTGATGCCACCATTCGTATGGTCAAACGCAGCGTGCGTTTGGCAGAAATTCAACTGCTTCTGGAAGGTCATCTCCAGAAGACTTTACATGGTGAGTACTTCGAGGCAATCCATACCCATAGGTTGTCTCTGGAGTTGTCCCATGTGTGGCTAAGGTCCTCTGGCCCATGCTCAGAGACAGAGGGGTTGTTGGCAGCAGCTCAGGATGGCGTTTTACC